CACAAATTGGACCCAGTTCGCCGTGTGGAGACGGTAGCTAGCAGAAGGTCTGGAAACTCGATTCAGGCACAAACTGAACGACTACCCAGCTGTTACAAAAAAGAAAGGCTCAAGAGATCAATAAATAATATCGTGATGTAATGAATGATGTGTGCCTCTGCCAATCTGTTTACTGTGCGTGGTGACGCAGCTTCCGCACCTTCCGCTTGACAGCGTCTCCGCACGTCGAGTCGAGTTCACTGTTCGCAGGCGGATAAAGGTTCGCACACGAACGAACACTTTCAGGATTTTGGCACACTGCACGCCCCGCGAATATTTCTCGGCCATCATACGGGTGGCGTTGCGGATGACGCCGCGCTCTCGACTGAGCCCATCGGGGTGCATCGCATGGTAGGCACAGAAACAGGTCTCGAGCTCCCTGCACAGTTCCAAGAAAGACTCGGTGGGAACAGTCATGTCTCCAACACTGCGCAGCCGCGTCCACAGTGCCTGGACAGGGACGTCCTCGGCATGGGACAGGGACGTCCTCGGCCTCTGCCAGTTTGCTCTTCAGGCTTGCCAGTTCAGCCTCAAGTGCTGGGCATCTGGTACACCTGTTAGGACAAAAGGATCATCAGAACAAGAAAGGGATTTCAAAATACAGAAGTAACTTTAGCTATCATGGGTGCTATCAGCTATTCATGTGAGCATGGGTGGGTGGGGGGGGGGGGGGGCATGGGTGCAGGTGTGTGTTTCATTCATGTGGGTGAGTACTGATTGTAACTAATATTCTACAATCCACAGGTACTGTGCTATAAAGCAATTACCAATTTTTATTCCTGACTTTATAGTAACACTGAGCTGGAGGAGGATATTCTTAACCAATCTTCCACCAATATTGGGCAATGACAGGAATTAAATTTATCTTTCAAACTGCACCTATTTTCTAGTAAAGTCATAGACATGTGTACATAAATAACATACTTGAAATGTATCTGAAATAAGTTAAATAAGATACGACGTACTTTTAAGGCTCACACTTCGTCTGTACAGATGCATCTGAATGCAGGCATTCTTCTGCTTGGAGTGATGAGTCTTTGGGAGCTGCTTGTTCTCCTTCTTCTTGCACCTGCCTTGACTCATCTTCCTCTCCACCTCTGTGTAGCAGCACCACTCCTTGGTGTTGTGACTCTGTAAAAATAACCGACTTTAGTAACAAACCCTTACTGCTAAATACGTGACATTAATGATGTCTATTCTAGCTGGTAACTCAGAGCTAACAAGAAGTTCAAAATTAAGTTGTTTGTTCAGCTGAGCTTTCCTTATAACAAAAAAGGCAAAATGGGGTAATTTTGACTATACCCAACTATCCATCTGATCTGGTCTGAGCTGAGCAACTTCATCCCTGTCCCAGCTGGTGGGAAACTCATTTAAAAAAGGTCCCTCAAAAATGGGTTATTCACCAATCCGGACAGCTGAAAAGCGAGCTGTCCGTAAAGTGTATACAGATTTGCTATTCAACCGATAGGTAAACTCATAAATATCTGATGGGCACACTTAAGGCCTGGCTACTCTACCTATGCGTTTTCTGCATGCGTTTTTTGCGGGCTTGCATGTTTTGCGAAATATCGATCTAGAAACAAAAGTAATAAATAATTTAACTTTAACATTAGCTATATACAAAAGTTAATAAAACTCTTATATTAACTTAAATATAATACCAAAACATATCACAAAAACATTGTTTTTACTACAACAGTAGGTACTACGCAAAACCCGCAAACCCGCGAAAACCGCATGCAGTGTAGTCAGGTGAGGCCTTTACCTTGGAGGACGAGTCAGGTTCCTGGATGGGACTGATGTAGGTAGCAGCTTCATGGCAGAATACTGCGGAGGCAACTTAAGCAGTTCTGACCTGAGGCCTCTTTCATAGTCAGCAGTTACAAAATGCAAAGAACACAAACAATACTGGCGGAAGTTCTTCGGGAATGGCTCCCCTCTTTTTATGATCTGCCACCATCGCCTTGCCATCACTTCATCCGCAGGGAACTCGTGATATTTGGTGCCGGGCGCCTGGTTGTTTCTTCTCCCGGACCCATTTCTACACGAAGGTTCCGCACAGTAAACCATCATAGAATTTAAATCATCAGCAATCAGAAATCAAAGCAAAATGTTATCAATCACCAACTGATGCCCCATGAGCACCACGCAACAATCCACGATGCCTATGAATAATAAATATATCCGCGGACCGCGGCGGCCCTTAATTCAACTTTCAAATGTCCCGAAAACCAATATACCTTGCCAAAAACATTCGACGTGGTTTGATCTAGTGCATTATACATTTTCATAAACAAGGTAAAAATGATGTAATTTTGACGTCATAAAACACATCTTACTTGTTAGTCTCACAGTCTTATTATTGTTATGACGCAATCAAACTCATGCCAAACTACGACCTCAGCAGAATATTTGCGTCAAGATATGTTTCATCTGCGCAATGTTTGTCGTGATTGAGTGCTTCCATATCTCAAACTCGGACCGTACCTGTTATTTATAGGCATCTTGAAACTCTGCGTCCTCTCCGAGCCCAGAGATCCCTCTACGTCTCCCGGCCCACGCCCTGTCCGACGGGTGGTTGGCGATATGGGCTGCAGAGGTCACCACCGTCCGTGGAGCCATTCAGCCCAGCCAGATGTCTGGCTAGTAGTTGGCGATATGGACTGCAGAGGTCGCCACGGCCTCTCGGCTCGCTGCATTGTGTGCGGCGCTGCTCCGCCTGTGGTGGCCCGTGGTGTAGACATAGGCGGACATAAGCTTATGTCTAGGACAGAGATATAAGCTCTCTCAAGCTCTCCCCCCGACTCCCTACTCTGAGTCGTTGGCATGACAACCCATCTGGGCACTCTGATTGGCTAAGGTTTCCCGCCATACCGGGATCACGGATTATGAAGAATGCTCAGTTGCAATTGTATGCAACTGGCCTCGGGGCACGTCTCCCGAGGTGGATATATATTATATGCTAGTCCATAAGGAGTCGGCACTCTCCGGGCGGCCCTGTATCAACATTGAAGCAAACCACCGCTCCCTCTGGTCAACCACTGGTTCGGAGTACCGCCTTTAGGTGGCAGCACCTCCTTGGCGTTTTAAAGTGGTCGATGTAATCGCTGCTCCCTCTGGGTGAGCACTAATTCTCAGTATGTCCGCTAGGTGGCAGCACCTAGCCTACTTGGTAGGCTGTTGATTTAACTAATTCTCAGTATATCTGCCAGGTGGCAGGACGTTTTAGGTAAGAGTAGGTTCTCCATTTAAGCAGCAACCAGTCCGGGCAATTGCTGCCTCCTTTTTCAGCTGTTAGGTGAGAGCACTTCACTGGCTGGTGACTACACCCAGCCTTCTAATCTAACGCTCCTTCTCTTTTCAGTGTAAAAGGCACTGATGCTGATACTGTCTCTAATTAGCTAAACTTAAAGGAATTGACGGAAGGGCACCACCAGTAGCCTTTCTCATAAAGCTTTGTCTAGTAAAAAGTAATGGTAAAAAGCACGATTTTACTGTTGACCAGTAAAATTCTGTTTCATAAAGCAAAAATTACTTTTACCTAGAGTTGCAAATTTACTAGGTAGTTTTACTGGTGACCAGTAGGAAGATCCTGGGTTGTGTTTCATAAAAGCACGTGCCTTAGTAAAAAAGTCGAATGACTTTTGCTTTCGTGCTGTCAATTTCACCCTTGCTCTACCTTGCAGTAAAACAGCTTATGAGTTTTGCTTTTAGCTTTAATTGTACTTTATGTCTTAATGCATGTCCTGAGTTTTCGTCATAAGCCTTTTATTGACAAATAACAAGCTTCATTTTTTCTTTAAAAACATCTATTGTTGCTAAAACCTCACGTTAAATCATATGAAAAGTTGGCTCTCCATCCTGGCAAACTGAACGAGGTCAAGCGTGTTTCTGGCAAGCTAATGTGAAGTGGAGATATGTTCGAAACGTTCCAAATGAAAACTGCGGTGGATTTTCATTGAAGGAGAGACATTAATTGAAAAAGGACAAGACACACGGACAACGGGCTATCAACTGAAACATAATAAAGGAAGACCCAGTAACCGAAGCATTTTCGATGTCGGCATAGAATAAACGCAAGTCCAACATTAGCCTACTAGTTACTACTTGAACCCTAACCTGAACTGAAGAAAAAACATAATTGGTCGTGTGAGTACAAAACAAATTCGATGCTGAATACTTTGTGGGTGCTGAACACTTAGATGCAACTTGAAGCAAAATAGCGCTCACCGCCGTGACCACTGATGGTTCGAGGGGCACGTTGGAGTATTTGTCCTCTGCAGCGCCCCAAAGGTACGAACTTACGCATTTTTCCTCGATTTGAGAGGAAAACCAACAACCAGGGCTGCGGAGTCGGAGTCGGAGTCGGAGTCGGAGTCGGTCGGAGTCGACAGTTGTGACCAGAGTCGGAGTCGGAGTCGGAGTCGATTTTAGAAACCCGAGCCGGAGTCGGAGTCGGAGTCACCGAAAATCTGTCGACTCCGCAGCCCTGCTAGGTCTGCGGAGTTGGAGTCGGTCGGAGTCGACAATTCTGCCCGGAGTCGGAGTCGGAGTCGGAGCTGGTTTTTGAAAGCCGGAGTCGGAGTCGGAGTCGGAGTCGCCGAAAATCCATCGACTCCGTAGCCCTGCCAACAACTTTTATAAGAAGTTTGATTTAAACAGCACAAATTGGCATAATATATCACAATCCGAGAAATTTTTGAAAAAGCAAAAATGAAGCACATTATTGGGGAGCATGCCTCCCCCAGCATATCAAATAACTTCTGGATCTTCTAATGACTGTACCGGTTGGTCGGACGGAGTCATGCATTACATATGATGTACAGTGATGCCATCCACTGGGGCTATTGTGTGCGACGTTCTCGTATGCCCACCTACAAGCAGCGTTGTAGGTGACAGGTCAGCTACGACGAGTGGGATCTGCCGGCTATCGAAGTCATGTGCTCAAATAACCAACCGGTGCACACTGCACAGTGTGAAGGAGAAGGCCGACGAGCAAATAACAACTTTGACCGCGGCGCGGGAGCGCCCGTACGAGCTCATATTGGGCCATAGGTACTGGCGGCACGTGGGAGATCTCTTTTCTCGCCCATGTGTTGTAGATACGTGTCTGTGCGGTTGTGCGTTTGTAATCTTTGATATAACCATGTGAATATGCAACTACAACGAAATACATGCAACTGAAACGTGATGCATTGTTTTGCATTTTCGCATTTTTTAAAGCCACGTACAGATGTGGTACGGATTAGGCTAGCCGAGCCAGGGAAATCCAACCCAGGGAAAGTCTAGTCCAATCCAGTGCCCAGGTCCGGGGGTGTTTCCCTTTCCTTTGCATTGCTATGTAAATGAAGCAGCTACCGAAAATGAAATGTTAGTGACCAGACGAAAGGTCTCAGCAAAATAAATCTCGACCTTAAAAATTGAGCTCGAGCCAATTTAGGTCAAAAGTCAAAACCAACATGCTTGCAGGGATCCTTAACTTAATGGCAAGAAGCGCACGGCATACTGAAATATTTTAAAAGTGGGTGTGCCGTGGGGTCCTGCTTAAAAACTCTGACCCCCTTCCATCGAAAACAATATCTAGTTGCGCCAGCCCTATCTCCAAATCGCATGATTCATCAAACATTCGCCGGTTCCTTCATGGCATAAATCGATGTTATTTGATAGCTCGCTCAATTATCGATGCGTGGATGCTGGTCCCGTGCGGATCATTGGTCTAGCTACCAAGATATATAGCCATAACTGCAACGGTGTCTACCGCATTTCGACGATCAAAATAAAATTAAAAAGATATCTTCCACACGGAGGTCCCATGACTCGTTTTCAAGCGTTACTGAGCTCCGAAATCTTACTCTTTTACTAATTACTTTTCACTATTGTTTATGAGACAGAGGGCATCAGTGATTAGTAAACTTGAAATCACTATTCTACTATACACCAGTAATAGTAAAAAATGTTTATGAGAAAGGCTACTGGAGTGGAGCTTGCGGCTTAATTTGACTCAACACGGGACAACTCACCAGGCCCGGACACCGTAAGGATTGACAGACTGATAGCTCAGACAGACTGATTGTGATTATGTATGGTGAATTTCTAGTTAATCCAACAATAAATATGGCAGTTAGTTGCCTGCTAAGGGTAAGATGTCGCCGGCTGGAGCGGGATCGGCCGACGCGGGAAACGCGGCAATCACAATTTTGTGTTTACACACTCATAATTCAAATTTTTACCTGCCGATTTTCAAAATTTATTGACCAGAAGATTGCTTGTACATTTCTTAGTCTTCACTCAAAATCTTAAGCGAATCCAATGTAATCAGCGGTAACGAGCGCGATGTAAAGACGGGACCATCCCGCCCCGGCACAGTCTACAATTCAGGCGGGCGGCGCGCGCGCAACGGCTGGCAGCGGCCGCCGCGCCGCCGCGGCGACAGGATGTTTGACTTTACACCGCTATTAGTAGAAAAGTTGTGAACCGATTTTCTTATTTCTTGCACGAGAAGATCCGCAATTCAATTCTGCACAGGTAGCTGAAATTTCACATCAATATTAGGTTTGCGGCGCGAGTTTTTAGCGAAAAACAGGAGGGGTGGGCGAAATCCGCCCCCCCCCCTTCCACTACGCGTGTTAAAAGGTTCGTTACTCTGTCAACTTTGACCGATTTTTGGAGATTAGGGAAGTAATCTAGCAACACTGACTGGCGCGGGTTCCGTACATAATTGAGTGTCCTACACGCCCATTATTTCATATTAGGGGCGGAACAAATAATGACAAAGTTAGAGACCAAAAACCAAACACGTTCGGCAAAGTCGGCAAAGTCGGCAAAGTCGGCAAAGCCCATTGGCGGTGATCGGCAGATTTCAGTTCCGAAACAAACTGTGTTTGAATAGTTTGACTGAAGAATCCCTCAGCGCATCTGCTAATAGGAATGTCAGCTGCTTTATTCTCAATTTTCCTCTCGCCCAACTCACCAATTCAACCAGGTCTCACCGCTCAAGTCATCATTGTGATTATTGGTGACCTGCCACATGCGTACATTAAAAGGCTTCGTTACCCTGTCAACTTTGACCGATTTTTGGAGATTAGGGAAGTAATCTAGCAACTCTGACTGACGCGGGTTCCGTACATAATAGAGTTTCTTACACGCTCATTATTTCATCTTAGGGGTCGAACAAATTATGGCAAAGCTAGAGACCAAAAACCAAACACGTTCATGTATCATCGGCAAAT